CAGATTTTATTTAATACTAGCGGCCCGGTACACAAAAATCTGTGAACTCAGGGGGTCCCTTTAGCCTGGCCTGTGCCCTCTCACAGTCTGAGATCCCTTGGGGGATGTCCACCTGCTGGCGTAGGCCTGTTCCCCGGGGCGGCGGGCCTAAGCTGGCAGTCAGACATCCTGCTGGCAGCCCTGGAGCCCTCGGGGGATGTCCACTTGCCAGCGGGGAACAGACTCAAGCTGCAGTCATACTTCCTTAGTGCTAAATGAGGAGGTGGGAGAGGTTCCCGCCACCAGCGCCGTCCTGGCAGCCGTCAGCCTGGCTTGTGGCTGAGCAGAGCTCCCCCTGTGAGAGCGCCCTGACCACCAGAGGGCAGCTCTTGCATTGAGCGTCTGCCCCCTAGTGGTCAGTGTGTGTCATAGCGACCAGTCATTCCCAGTCATTCTGCTGTTAGGGTCAATTTGCATATTACCCTTTTATTATGTAGGATATGTACACCTATATATTTAAGTGCCTTTGGCTTAAAGACCGGTAGATAAATATCCCTTCTCTACACTCAGGTCACAAAACAGCCAGAGATCAAAAGAGAACAAAAGAGCCCCAGCCAATCGCCTTATCGGGGTGGACTGCTGAGTGTGGGAAAGCCGTGGGTGAGGGAGACAGCTTTCGGGACCCACCAGAAAGCTTGAGCTCCCGTCTCCTGTTCGACGCCCCTCTCTCAGAACTCCCCTTGTTAAAACACATCGCCCTTTGCAAAAAAGGGGGGGGCACTGGGCTCCCCAAATCAGGAAGCAGGACCTGCCTGATTCTGCCCAGTTAAAGTACACTCACTGAAACCAGCCATTCAAAAAAGACAGGTGCCATAGCATCTCACCCCTCAATGAAATCAATAGAAATGGACTCCTAGGCCCAGAGAACTGACTGACAGCTGTCGGACGAGAGGCGTTTGGGGGGATTGGGTGGAAACAGCAAAGGGATTAAGAAAAAAATAATTAAAAAAAAAAACACAACCTCACAGCCTGGCCAGCGTGGCTCAGTGGATAGAGCGTCCTGTCCACCTATGAACCAGGAGGTCAGGGTTCGATTCCCGGTCCAGGGCACATCCCTGGGTTGCGGGCTCCATCCCCAGTAGGGGGCGTGCGGGAGGCAGCCGATCCATGATTCTTTCTCATCATGGATGTTTCTCTCTGTCTCTCCCTCTCCCTTCTTCTCTGAAATCAATAAAACGATATGATAAACAGTGATAGAAGGAGACTGGACTTGGGGTGGTGAACACACCCTACAATAAACAGATGGTGTTTTGTAGGGTTGTAGACCTGGAACCCATGTCATTTTCTTAACCAGCTAGTGGCCCTGTGCACGAATTCGTGCACGAGTAGCTCGATGCTGCTTGTTTCCGCCCACAGCTCGCTGGCCGTCCGGCCCACCTCTGCCCACAGCTCACTGACCCACCCCCCTGTAGCTCTCCATGGCTCATAGCTCACTGCCCCGCCCTCCCGCTAATGGGTCGTTACACGCGACGGCGTAACGACCATTTGCATATCACCTCTTTATTATATAGGATGTCACCCAATAATGTTTCTTAATACATATAAAAATCACCACTCATTGAAATAGTCTACATCAGTGGTCGGCAAACCGCGGCCCGTGAGCCACATGCGGCTCTTTGGCCCCTAAAGTGTGGCTCTTCCGCAAAATACGCACGCGTACAGTGCGAAATTGACTTAAAACTTCAAGTACAGTTTATGAAGCTCATTTTAGGGAACGTTGTGGAGTGAGAGAAGATGTAGGGTTGAGGACGGAGAAAGGTATGCTGAGATGGTTTAAAAAAT